TCCAATACCATTTGACACAATTTTAATTGCGAATTGCGTAAGTACTTACTTGTTTTTTGATTTTACTTTCAAGTACAAATTTTTAATAAATTAATAAGGTTGTCGAATTTAAATAAAACCGATTGCCGTTAAGAATCATAAGTTCATCCAAATAATGACCAAAATGTCACATATTATAGTATATTAACCTCCACGTAATCTCATAAACAGTTATTAGTATTTCTTATTAATAAACTGAAGCGATAACACAAGAAAGAGGGCGTGGTGAAGAAAAACTCTATATAACATACATATATGCATACAAAATTTAATATTTAATATTTTGAAAATTTTCGACACTGGAAATGAACGTCTTTCATACAGGTACCTCCGAAGGATGTAATCTGTAACCGAAACGGACCCGGACTTTTATCCGGCCAAGGACTGTCAACTCGGCAGAATTCTGCCGTTACAAGAACAACAACACTGTCGCTTCAAAACCTATTAAATGTTAGAATGTGCTTTTGGTCGCCCAACAGTTAATTATATAATAAAAGTGTAACCAAAAAAACTTTATAAGCCAACTTTTTTCGAGACCAAACATTTTTCGGACACAATTATATAATTATATTTTCAAAGCCCATGGTTTATCCTCTAATAATATTCAATCACTGTAAATGCAAACATTTCTGCACACCCGATTCAAGTCAATCAAGTTCATACACAATACACAAATGACCCTATTTAATTTTCAAGTACACACAACTGGATTTTCATTCTTACTTCTGTGTGTGCTATGAATATGCCGCCATTCTGAATCCAACCCGGATCGCATCCTGTATCTTCTTCCAAATGTGTCAGCAAATGACGTGAATTGTTTAGCAATTGTATATCCACATCGTTGGGTCGTAAACGCCATATCAAACCCGCCGTATGCCAGGTGGTGCCGGCTGTTAGTTTAGCACGCTCCAACAGCACCGCCTTCACCCCGCGCTTTGCCAAGTGATATAATGTATGACATCCTGCCGAACCGCCACCAATGATAACCACATCTGCTGTTGCGGGTATTTGGGGCACAGCATTATCCGTTTTGACACTGCTATGGCGGTGTTGTGTTGTCGCTACCGCTGTGTTTGACGAGAGGCTCGTCTTACCTGCCAATAATGTTTTTCTGCTAAGCTTCCACATTGATTTGTAATAAGTATTGCACTTAAGTTTTCGATCACGACTGAACACAAATTATTTTAATTTAATTCTAAATCGAAGCTTAAATCATAATTTATAAAAAAGCACAATCGCTGTGATGTCAAATGATTATAACGGCCAATTACCATCGATAGGTCATAGAAAGCTGATAAAGCAAGGAGATAAACAGTGTTTATATAACAAACACCAGCCCAGTAGTGAACATATGTGAGGCTTAAGTTGATGTATAAATAAGTACACGAATTTGAATCTAATAAAGGGTGTCTCAAAATTAACGCAAGATTTATATTAGCCGCCATTTATGTAGTAAAATGTTAACAACCCTACAAACAAACAAAACAAATCGACAGCTGAAAGTTTAGGCTTAGTAAAAATGGAGCGTTACTCGATAGAACAACGTGTATTCAATATTGACAATATTTTAAAAATTTCTCACAAAGCACATTTTCACATTGATGACTTTGTTAATCGCCAAAATAGCCGCTTTTGAAGTTCTGAGAACCCACATGTGATTATCGAAAAACAAATGCATTCACAACGTGTCACTGTTTGGTGTCGATTTAGGGCAGAAGGCATAACTGGACCATACTTTTTTGAAAATGAAGCTGGTCAAGCAGTGACTCGATATCGCGACATGTGAAATTAGCTATGGGATCTGTCACTTCGATGATATACGATATGATACCATAAATAAAATCTATTTACTCGCTTTAAGGCGAGTAGTCGATATTGAAAAACAAATACATATTGAAGGCTGTAGCAGAAAACATTGGCTGCGGTACATGTTATTAGGTCGGCAGTACTGAGGACAAAGTTAATAGCGAGTCAGAAAAAAAGTTTGTGAGTATCACAATAGCTTTAAAAGATTCTGTAGAAAAGATATTAATTGCCGAAACTCGACACATAGAATATTCCCCCTAAACTAGGTCCAACATTTGACCGATATAATATACGATTTTACTTTTATAAATTAACATTAGAATGCGATGAATTGCTTTCTTTGAAAAAAATTAGCGCTAAATGTGACATTTTGATTTACAAAAGATAGTATATTGATTTTAAAAATTAATGGGGTTTAAAGTGGAAAGACAGAAACTTTTAAACCTAGGTAGATAAATTGAAAATTTGGAATAAAACTTACTCATAGCAAACTTTCAAGTTTCGGAGAAATAAAATTGCGGGTTTTTGCTGTCTTTTTAAATTAATATTGCAAATAATTGAATGAAAATTTCATAAATATAGCTTTCAAACTACAGGGAGTTACAAGTATAAGTAGTTTCGAAACTATGGTTTCAGTATACTTTGCATAAAAATAGCTCACACTCAAAAATAGAAACACTCGCACTAAAGAGTACTCTCTGCGAGCTGATTAAGATTCATACAAGTATAAGATTGATAATAAGAATATGTTGTTATTTTGTTTTTGTTACTTCTCTTCAATTTTTTTTATAAATATATTACAAAATTTTAGTAAATTTCACAATATTTAAGTATAATTGGTTTTTTTGCTTTCCGACTTTGTTCTTCGAAAACATGGTATACTCGTATATTTAAAATACTTTAAACCTCAGTTAAATTTATTATTATCGATCATACGTGGTATGATCAAAAAATAACAGGAGTTTTCGTTTTTTGAAAAAAATATTTATTATAATTATATACAAATTATTTGTTTACATTGATGTTGTCAACGCCTTCAAAATAATCTCCATTCGATATTATACACTTATGCCACACTTAAAAAAAATTGAAAATGTGACTCTTCAAATCAGCGAAATTTTAATTTCAAAATTTCAGTTATTTTTTGAACACTCCTCGTATGTTTATAAGGGAGTATTAAATATATTCAATATTAATCAAATTAAAACATTAGGTGTAAACTGAGCCAGTTTTTAACACTTCAAGCACACGACGAATCACTAAAATCAAGGGTTAATTTACGGTTTTTTATTTAACATTGTATCAGCTATTAATTAATAAAGGTGATTAAATTCACTGAGACACTAGTTGCCATATTTTAAAGGTTAGTGATGCATTTTAAGTCACTTGTTTCGAACAGGCTGAATTTCTATTTAGAAAACATGGTAAAAAGTATATTTAAGTATGTTAACAAGTGCTAGTAATTAATATAGATTGATTAAACTTTAGTTTACAAAATAGAAATTTTAATTTGTAAAGATTAGTACTTACCTGATAAGATTTATTGCTTGCGTGATTAATTTCTATGTATATATATAATATATGACTTGCAGAACGTATTATTAATAGATTATCCACTAAAGTATTGATAGTTTGCATTTCTGGAGCTGAAATTTAAAATAATTGTGTAATTATATTTGTAATGCAAGTATTTATGTAGAAAAAATATAAACTCAAACTTTTGAAGATGTACTAGTTTTGGCTAATGCTTAGCATTTAGTTTGAGACATCAAAATCAGAGATAAGAATAAATTAAATGCTATAGAAATAGAATTATTTTTAATATACACATAAAGGTCATACTATATACATGTAGAAATTTAAAGACAATAAATTCTACTATAAAGAATGTGAAGCAGTTTTTCCTCTTTTAAAGAACAATTATTATGAAGGGCGATCGCCATGGTTAAGTTCGTGGTTACCACTCGCTTTATAGTCGGTTTTGTTCCCGGCCGTGTCAAAAAGTTTATAACAAATTAAGCTATTTCTCGTACATCGTTAGTAAGCATGAGTGCCTAACCGAGATTACTGGCTAAACTATTTAAACACACTGGAAATAATTTTCGAAAAAGCGTAAACCCTAATCTAGAGGGTGGTTGGGCAATTAGAACTGGCCAACTCTACTATAACACAAATAAAGCTACCTCTGGAGCTTGTAACAACAATTAAAATTTATCGTCGATGGATTGAATAGAAATTATCCATTTTGCTTCAGATACGGAAAATATTCAATAGACTATCAAATATAGGATATAATTCGATGTACTTGTCCGGCACAAAATGGTGCTGCCTTCGGTGTCGCACTCACCAAATCAGTAAGAATGGAAAATTGCGCCAGAAGAAACATGTTGGGGAAACTGAGAAAATAGCCCTAGTAATTGAAAAGCTGCGACAACATATAAAAAAGATAGAGAAGGATGGGACAATGACGATATATCATGATATGGCTAGAGTGATTTGGAGAAAAATTTTGCGAAAGCCGTAAGGATCTTTACGCTTTAAAAATGGTAAATATCGCTTAAGATAGATCGATAAAGGATTACGTTTTTAAAGAAACGTCGTTTGAATGGATAAATATTATCCGTTTTGCCCACCATCACAAGGTTAAATCTGTGGATCAATGATAAAATACAAACGTATGAAAAACTTTGGAAAGTTTTGAAAAGTAAGAGTCTTTTTTGACTATTATATACATATGTATGTACATATGAATGCATCTACAAATCTATCACTTCAGTTTAACAACTCAAACATTTCATGTAAACAATGCTTGGTATTAAAACAAGGCTGGATCGCATCTTTAGCAATTCGTTCAGCTACTTTTCACATGGACGCCTTTCGATTCGTTTATTTATTTACATGATCGCCCATATGTTTTCATTTAAATACTTATTCGTATGCGTAGAGTCGCCTTCTATTTGTCTATTCCCCAGCTAGATTCCTACCAATGAGATTGTCTTAAGATCTACTAGCTAAAGAACCGCTAGTATGTATGTATGTATATCGATCATATGCTCCACCCACAATGCTCTAAAAATAGTCCTTTGGTCGATTCAATGGTACTCGGGCGCATAGATGAGCGTAAATACTAAGATGTTCTAAGATATTATACCAGAAACGCATGGTATATGGTTTGTTACGGTCGGTTGCCGCGCATAAAAAATTATTCGGCATCGTTATTTTGGTGTACTCGTACTGTGATTATTGAAAAACTGTGATAGAATTTGAAAACCTGACATAAATTTAAACTAACAGTGAAAGTGCACTCAAGTGAAATTTAAAGAATTATATAAATTTATACTAGGAAAGTTAAAACATATAGGGAATATAAAAACATAACCTAAAAGAAAATAATAATAATGCCACGAAGAAAACGAGCTTCCAGTCCATTTGATGCATTCGATGACGATTTTGATGAGGACGCCAGTTCTCAAAGTATGTGTTAAGTGAAAACCATGTTATAAATTATGGAATATGAAAGTGTTTAAAAATAGCTTCTCATAAAACTCTTAGACAGTCTATACATAATCCAACTTATAATGATCATCAACTACAAACATTGATTTGGTCTTGAGGAGTTTCAAGTTATAATTGTTCGGTAAATTTTTATATTCGCCTATCAACCGCTATTGACCACGGTTCATAGAAACTGCAAGAGTTAATTACTTAAAAATATTTTTAGTTTGAACTTTTTAGCCCACTCTTTGCGATTCCCTATTCCGGCGCTAGTCGGACTTATTGAACCGAAACGTAACTTAATTTGTATTTGCCAAGGAATATTGTCACGACAGCATTTCTGAAAACTATTTGGAGAATATTATATATACTACAACAACAGCATTATGTTTCAAAAGCATAGCAGATAAACGTGGGTGGGGCAAATGGGCTCTACTTAAAGTATCGCTGAAAGATCAGTCTAACTTTTATAAAGCGCAGTTGAGACTCATCGAAATAATACGGTTTTGACAATATGCTGAAGGTAAAAGGTTCCAAATGCATATCAAAATTCAGAACGCCGTGAATTGCTTTTAATGTGTGTGTCGGATCATATTTTCGATTGCGATGGTTAATTTGAGTTCACGATTCCTTGTCACTCCAGGTAACTGAACCAATTTCAAGCTCGTCTTTAAACTTTAAATTATAACAAACTACTTAAAAAAACATCAGCCAATATCATACTCTAGCGCCCATATACCCACCGAATACAAGAGTATCTGACTTTGCTATTGACTTCACAAAGAAATTCTCGAGATACAATAAAAGTCTTAAATAAACGACTAATGTGTCATACTTGAGAAGATGAATAGGTGAAATTTCTTTCAGTTGAACTGCCTTCAGAAAAGTATAATTTAGGGTAACTGCCGAGCCCTAATGTTAATGTAAAAAGTCTCGCATATACTAAAAAGATTGACCACAATCGTACGAACTAAACTAGTACCACCTAGATTTACCAATTATATTTTAGTTAGAAAATGATTTTTAAGTTGTATAGAGAATGAGACTTTCTTCATATCTTCCTAGATAGTGCATACTGACACTAAATTATTTTTCAAGACAATTGTATTTTTGATAAGGAAAACAACGAAAATTGCACAAATAAAAATTGTTTGTACTTCCTTTAGGTTCCAAAAATGGCAATCCACCAATACAACGTAACGCTGCCAATGCAAGAGAGCGGGCACGCATGCGTGTTCTCTCCAGCGCTTTTGGGCGACTCAAAACGAAGCTACCAAACATTCCGCCGGATACGAAATTATCCAAATTGGACACACTGCGTTTAGCGACGATGTATATTAAACAGTTAAAAGTGCTTGTAGAAGGTGGCGCAGCGACGGCAGAGAGTCCAGAGGCATTTCAAGAGTCAGCGGGGATTTTCAATATGCAGGGCGTGCCACAGAGTATGGTAAGTACATATTTTCATAATCATGATCATTTATGTATATATTTTATAGGAACTCCGACGTTTCCTTCTGGGTGTTACAAACTTCGTGGCAAACTAAATCTATCCTGTTCAGGGTATAATAATCTCTAGTTGCCGCTGGTTTTGAATTTCATGTCAGAGATACACTAAGAAAGATGTTCCACTTCTTAAATCCAACTCAACTCACAGAATTTGACAAAAACAAAAGGCAAGTCTAATCTTGAGTGTCTTTTTCCTAACTGCCTAAATCCGTTGGGAATGTCAATGAATCTGCAATATATAATCTTATGGTATTAAGATTGATGTCCGTGAAAGTTTCTTTCTAGCGACAATTCGGTCTGTATAGCCGTTATGAGCCCAATTTTAGATCGGGTATTCCCTAAAACTATTAGAGAATATTTATTTTATAACAATATAGCTGAACACCTCCAACGGGAGGATTCTTCAGAACACATTGCATTCCTTAATTATTCTTATTTGATAGTTAGTTATTTCAAGGTTTATATTCCAGGGGACAACTAAACTTTGAAAAAAAAAGTTTTTTTTATTTAGAAATAACTTCTTGTTGATCGGAAAAGAAATAGTGCGCATCTCTAACTATAGAATTTGCCTTGAATGCCAGAGTCAAATTTATGTAAAATAAATAGTAATGAATTTATATAATAGATTTATTGATAATTTTCTGTATACATAAGTATAAAACAGAGCTCTTTAAACTATTAGGGTTATTCACACCAACTTTGTTAATTCATTAGTGGTTATTCGGTAGTTTTTTACATGAATCTTGTTTTTGTAAAATTAACAGATTATCGTTGTACCGAGTAACGAAGTACCAGTGTGACAAGCTTCATAATTTTTTTGTTACTTGGTAACAACAAATTAGCTGTTTGTTTTGCGTCGTAGCTTAAAAGGTTCATTTCATTCATACAATTGCTGCTCGCTACAAATAAATTTAAGTCAAATTTTGCATGAATAAGTATTTAATAAAATTGAGTCAATTATTTTGGAAAAATTTAGCACACTACTGCGATAGAGCAACTAACGAATTACCAGATAAACATGTTCGGTCTGAATACCCCTATAAATTTTTCAAATACCTATCATGTTAAGCTGGCGTAAGTTTGTGATTTTTTTACAAATGAATGCATATCATCCAAAAAGCCACCACAAATGAATGTGGAATATTCAATAATTAGCCAACTTGGGTTATAAACAAAAATCAATATTATTATTCAACATAGTTGTCATCTAGGCCGATATACCGATACACCGACATTCCAATGTTTGATATTCTTCAAAATAAATCTCTATCTCGGCGATTACTTTTTATTGCTATTTCCGCATTTGTTTGAAGTCTAGGGACGAGAAAAGGCCGCCAAATCTAGATAATGTGGTGAAAGCGAAAGTTTAAAGACCGGACTTATATCTTCTGCTATCATTTTCAAGTTCAACGTTTTATGACATGCCGCATGGACTTGATTAAATAACACTTTTATCTTTGAAGTTGGAACGTTTCAACTTGCCAATATCGGTATTAAGTATTCGCTGTGAATAGGTTTTCTATTTTCGAAATATTCGATGAAAATTATTGAAAAAATTATCATCTTTCGCACCCATTCTTCGATTGTATGTCAATTCAGCTACAAAGAGAAATGATGGAGCCATGTTTCAAGTTTATTACGATTTAATAGCCCGATCAGAATCAATAATTCGATATTGTTTTATTCTATGTGCTTCTCCCTTTGCGTACAAAAGTATTCACGACCAGTATGGCCAACACACTCCTTTTATATCTTTAAAGTGCCAGTTATCTCAATCAAACCTAATTTTACGGATATCCACAATAATTTTATGTTTTTATACCCTGAACAGGGTATATTAAGTTTGTTACGAAGTTTGTAACACCCAGAAGGAAACGTCGTAGACCCTATAAAATATATATATAAATAATCAGCATGACGAGCTGAGTTGATTTAGCCATGTCCGTCTGTCTGTCCGTCCGTCCGTCTGTCCGTCTGTATATACGCGAACTAGTCCCTCAGTTTTTAAGCTAGCAATCTAAAATTTTGCACCTGTCTTTTTCTCATTTAGAAGCTGCTAAGTCGGAACGGCCGATATCGGATCACTATAGCATATAGTTGCCATATTAACTGAACCACCGGAGTAAAGTGCTTGCATGGAAAACTTTTTTATTTGACGAGGTATATTTACGACATTACACCGAAATCAAGTTCTTGTAAGGAGCCTTTGTATTTGTGAAAGGTATTATAGTTTCGGTGCAGCCGAAGTTAAAGTTTTTTCTTGTTTTTTTTAAGATTATTTCGTCTTAAACATTCTTGCACATAGCTCAGACAACAATGAGCAAGCCACTTTTAGGTGTCATCAGCATTTTTCACTTCAAAAATAATTCCTTTTTATCTATATGATTTTTTAGCTTGCCTGTGGTAATATAATTTTTATAAAATGCCTTAAATACAAATATAAAATACAATAGCTACAGGTAATTATTGACTTATTCCCCTTGAGAAATTCTCTATAAAAATCAAGTGAACAAAACTTTACGACTTTTCGCTCTCTCAAGAGAGTTAAAATTACTCAATTTTTACCATGTTATTGTTAACAATTATCTATAATTAGTTATATAAAAATGTTGTTATTTTATTATCTAATTAGCTGTCATTTTGCCGGTTAATTGCGACTCAAAGAAACTCATACATACTTACGTGTAAAGAACGATTTCTGCCTATTACAATACATTGCGCTGCTCAACACTTTTTCCACGCGCAATTTACAACAGTTGAGTTACTTATATCTTCTTAATTTGCCACATAATAAACATCTGAGAAGATAAATATACCTACGAATCACAACACCCACTCCAAAAATCAAACACATATCAAAACTATATACATACATACTTAGTAACCTAGTCTGTTTTTTTTCGAGAGCCTACCGAAAATTATGTCGCAATGGCCTTTTGAATATTTTTCTTTGAAATTTTGCACAAAACCTTTTTTATATGTATATATCTTTGGCATAATAAAAAGTTTGAATAAAATATTTAATTTTTTATAAATAAAAAGAATTATTATTAGTAATATGCAGTTAACCCCTTAAATAAAAATATAAAATAGCTACAGGTAATCATTATTGACGTATCCCCCTTGAAAAATTCTCTATAAAAATCATGTCAACAAAAATTGACAAAAAACTACCTCACTCTCTCAAGATAGTGAATATTACTCAATTTTTACAACTATCTATACGAGTAATTATATAAAAATGTTGTTATATTACTATCTAATTAGCTGTCACTTTACTGGTTAATTGCGACTCAAAAAATCTCACACATACGTGCTATAATCTGTAAAGAACAATTATTGCTTATTGCAATGCATTGCCACTGCTCAACACATCTTCCACGCACAATTTACAACAGTTGAGTTATATCTTCTTAATTTGCCACATAATAAACATTTGAGACGATAAGTATACAAACCACAACACAACGCCTCCAAAAAAAAATCAAACACGAATTATCATCGCAAAGTAACCTAGTCTGTATGTATTATATGTGAGTATGTAAGTGTATACTTGAAGTCGTATTTTAGTGATGTCAGTGCCGCTTCTGCTCCAGAAACACTCGTCGGTATTTAAGTACGTACTCCATATGGCCGCAGGTGCATTTTGTCAATTGATGGCGCGAGCGTCGATGTCAAATTTGGCTGACACATTAGCAGCCGAAAAGGCATTCGTATTTCTACAATGGGACAAATGCACAAAAGAGTACATACATACATATATGTATAAATAAATACAAACGCACATGGAAGTGTACGGCGATAATGTTTGTGGGGTATATGTTTGTGCATTTGTATGGAGTGCACTAGTACGCTATTAAAGTAATTACACCAAAATAGTTTTTTTAAATGTCCGGATTAAAGTCTAAAAGTATTAGTTATAAAATCAATATGTTTTAAAAGTACATAGAATATATGGACTGGGCTGTGATTTTTAGAAAGTAAGTCGGAGATAGGATTTCGACATTATGCATATATATATATTGAAATATTTAACACATTCATAAAGTTTATGATTTGCGCCTTGCTTCTCCTTCCTCTTCCAATAAGCGGTTTATACAATTTTTCACTTAGTATACAAAATATGTTCCGACCTTCAATATTGCCTGGAAATGTTCGATCGATATTGGGAAAAGACTCAATTAAGTTAGTTTTTTTTCGGGTGGGAATCTGAACTCACGCCCTCGAACGGTTGTTATCCAACTAGCTAGCTGACAGCTTGTTATTTGGTCTCAAACTTATAAGCATATATTTCAAGTCCAACGTCGTTAAGAATTCCTTAAGCGATCCCATCTAATTTTTTTGAGCATTTCTCAGCCACACATAGCTTTTTGTTATCTGGTGTTAAATATATTGAGTCGAATATTAACTCTGATAAATTCATGTAAAACAGATTTCATTTGATTTCTCTCAATTTGCAAATATTCTCCTTTTAACTCGATACGCTTAACTTAGCATTCTTCTACTTCTTTAAGCCATCTGAAAAATACGTTTTCTGGAGATCTGCAAAATTGGAAGTGGCGGGGATAAACCCTCAATCGACTAAAATTTCCTCCCGGAAAGTGATTTTTTCGGGAGCAAATTCGTAGCGTTATCCTGACGGAGGAGCACTTTTTCTTTGACACATGAGGTCGTTTTTACTTTATTTTAGCATAGTAGAATCTTGTAAATACCAGTAAACACTGCTGTGAAGTGACCGGCCCTTGTCGTGTCGAAAGCTGGACTCAAAATTTCATACAATTTATGCCCCAAGTGGTCTTTTGAGATGCCTACCTCCTCCGTTAGCTTGTACGGGTTCGGGGCGCCTAAGCGTGGGGCACCAATGTACGACCGTGTTGAACGTTTAAAAATTTAGAATAGAATCATCGACAGATATCTTTTTCAATTTTCCTAAAACCCGCA